TAAAAAGTCTGCACACCCTTAAGGCTCAGGTAAGCCTGGCTGGCAATATTCTGTGTGCACTGTCACACATCAGTGCTGAGAGAGTAATGTTGTCCTGACTTCACAGGGAGAAAATAACAGAAGCTTTGTATTTGGTGCCTTCCTGGACTCTCCCCTATGTATCTCTTCTCTTGGCTGATTTTAATCTGCATCATTTAACTGTAATAAACCATAACAGTGAATACAATAGTGTTCAGTGAGTTCTGTGAACCCTGCTAGTGCATTATTGAACCAGAGGATGGTTTTGAGAACTCCCCAATATTGCCAACATAAAACAGATTCCCTTTTTGTTAAAATACACTACATACAAGAGGCCTACTTACATGCTTCTCACTTAGAACTCATTTTTATTATAACTATCATATTGATTAGTTTCCTTTTTCCTTCCTTCCCTCCCTCCCTTTTTTCCTTTCTTTTTTAAGCTGAGAGAAGGGCTAAAAATCAACATTTCAAGTAGGAAAATGATGTTATTATATAAATCTAAAGTTAGCTTTTCCTGTTAATTCCTTGTGGAAGGTTAATTTCATATACAAAGCAACATGCAAGACTAGGTATAAAATGATGGATTTGAATAAATCACACAATACGACTTTTGACAACTTAGGAAGTGTTCTTACTGCATAATAAATAATACAAAAAGAAAGTAATTTATATGTGTAGTTATGCCAGCACTCAGAATTCAATATCTAAGGAACTCACATACAAAAATGCATTCCTATTTCTATAGATTAAATTAACTCAGCACTTAGTTTCTTAATCTTATGTATACTAAATATCCAATAATGCCTTACCAAAGCCATAATGTCTGATATGACGAGAACAATGAGAAAAAGGCTGAAAAAAAAAAAAAAAAGAAAGAAAAATTACATATAATACAATGGGCACATTTTTCAAGCACATTATAATCAAATAACCCAATAGTCTTAATATTTTTGCCTCTGAAAATGCTTTAGACAAGAGTTCTTTTCACATTATCACGGGTGACTTTCCCACAGTGATGGGCTAGACTTCAAAAATGTTATTGAAAACACTGAACATTTATTTCCGTGGAATGAAAGGGACATGAAATTAAACTTAAATTTTTAAATTAAACTTTTTGAGATAATTATAGATCGACATGCAATAGAGGGTATCCCGTGTACCCTCAACTCTTTCTTCTAATGGTAATATCTTGCAAAACTATGGTACAATATCACAATGAGGATATTGACATTCATACTGTCAAGATACAAAACATTCCCATCATCACAAGGATCCCACCCCACATGATGCCCTTTTATAGCCACATCTCTCTTCCCCTCACCCCCCCCTGCCTAATTCCTAACCCCTGGCAACCACTAATCTGTTCTCCATTTCTATAATTTTATCATTTCACAAGTATTACATAAATGGAACAGAATCATTTATATAACACTTTGTAACTTTTTGGGACTGTTTTTTTTCACTAATCACAATTCTCTCAAGATTCACACAAGGTGTTGTGTGTATCAATAGTTCAGTCCTTTTTATTGCTCAGTAATACTCTATCGTATGGTTAAACAATGGTTTGCTTAACCAATCCAGCACTGAAGGACATTAGGGTTGTTTCCAATTTGTGGCTATTACAAATAAAGCTGTTATAAACATTTGAGTATAGTTTTATGTACAAGCATAACTTTTCATTTCTCTACGAAAAATA